AAACCAGCTAGTATCATGATGAAAATCTCAAGTTCACACATAACAATATTAACCTTAAATGTAAATCAGCTAAATGCTCCAATTAAAAGACATAGACTGGCATATTGGATAAAGAGCCAAGACCCATTGGTGTGCTGTATTCAGACCTATCTGCTGTGCAAATACAAGCACAGCCTCAAAAATAAGAGATGGAGGAAAATTTGCCAAGCAATGGAAAGAAAAAAAAAAAAAACGGGTTGCAATTCCAGTCTCTGGTAAAACAGATTTTAAACCAACAAAGATCAAAAAAGACAAAGAAGGGGATTACATAATGGTAAAAGGATCAATGCAACAAGAAAAGCTAACAATCCTAAATATAAATAACCCAAAACAGATTCGTAAAACAAATTCTTAAAGATCTACAAAGAGACTTAGACTCCCAAACAATAATAGTGGGAGATGTTAACACCCCACTGTCAATATTAGATCAATGAGATAGAAAATTAACAAGGATATGCAGGACTTGAGCTCAGCTCTGGATTAAGTGGACCTAATAGACATCTACAGAACTCTCCACCCCAAAACAACAAAATATACATTCTTCTCAGTTCCACATAGCACTTATTCTAAAATCAACCACATAATTGGAAATAAAACACTCCTCAGCAAATGCGAAATAAAAACAATCAGTCTTTCAGACCACAGTTCAATCAAATTAGAACTAGGAATTAAGAAACTCATTCAAACCCACACAACCACATGGAAACTGAATATGCTGTTCCTGATTGACTGTTGGGTAAATAACAAAATTAAGGCAGAAATCAAGAAGATCTTTGATACCAATGAGAACAGAGAGACAACATACCAGAATCTCTGGGACATGGCTAAAGCAGTGTTAAGAGGGAAATTTATAACACTAGATGCCTACAAGAGAAAGCTGGAAAGATTTCAAATCGCAAACAAAGAGCAAACAAATTCAAAAGCTAGCAGAAGACAAGAAATAACAAAGATCAGAGCAGAACTGAAGGAGACAGAGACGCAAAAAACCCTTCAAAAAAATCAGTGAATCCAGGAGCTGATTTTTGAAAAAGTTAACCAAACAGATAGACTGCTAGCTAGACTAATAAAGAAGAAAATAGAGAAGAATCAAATAGACACAATAAAAAATGATAAAGGGGATATCATCACTGACCCCAAAGAAATACAAACTACCCTCAGAGAATACCATAAACACCTGTATGCAAATAAAGTAGAAAATCTAGAAGAAGTGGATAAATTCCTGGACACATACATCCTCCCAAGAGTAAGCCAGGAAGAAGTGGAATCCCTGAGTAGACCAATAACAAGTTCTGAAACTGAGGTAGTAATTAATAGCCTATCAACCAAAAAAGCCCAGGACCAGGCAGATTCACAGCTGAATTCTACCAGAGGTACAAAGAGAGCTGGTACTATTTATTCTGAAACTAATCCAAACAATTCAAAAGGAGGGACTCCTCCCTTACTCATTATGTGAGGCCAACAACCTGGCAGAGACACAACAAAAGAAGAAAACTATAGGCCAACATTTCTGATGATACAAAAATCCTCAATAAAATACCGGCAAACTGAATCCAGCAACACATCAAAAAGCTTATCTACCACAATCAAGTCATCTTCATCCCTGGGATGCAAGGCTGGTTTAACATAAGCAAATCAAAAAACATAATCCATCACATAAACAGAACCAAGGACAAAAACCGTATGATTGTCTCAGTAGATGCAGAAAAGGCCTTCAATAAAATTCAACATCTCTTCATGCTAAAAACTTTCAATAAACTAGGTATTGATGAAACATATCTCAAAATAATAACTATTTATGACAAATCCATAGCCAATATCATACAGAATAGGCAAAAGCTGAAAATGTTCACTTTGAAAACCGGCACAAGATAAGCATGCTCTCTCTCAGCCTTCCTGTTAAACATAGTATTGGAAGTTCTGGCCAGGGCAATCAGGCAAGAGAAAGAAATAAAGGGTATTCGAATAGGAAGAGAGGAAGTAAAATTGTCTGTTTGGAGATGACATGATTGTATGTTAGAAAACCACACCATCTTAGCCCCAAAACTCCTTAAACTGATAAGCAACTTCAGCAAAAGTCTCAGGATACAAAATAAATGTGCAAAAATTGCAAGCATTCCTATACACCCACAGTAGAGAAGCAGAGAGCCAAATTATGAATGAACTCCCATTCACAATCTTTACAAAGAGAATAAAATACCTAGGAATACAGCTAACAAGGGATGTGAAAGACCTCTTCAAGGAGAGCTACCAACCACTGCTCAGGGAAATAAGAGAGGACACAAATGGAAAAAACTTTCCATCCCTATGGATAGAAAGAATCAATATCATGAAAATGGCCATACTGCCCAAAGTAATTTACAGATTCAATGCTATCCCCATCAAACTTCCATTGACATTCTTCACAGAATTAGAAAAAAACTACTTTAAATTTCATATAGAACCAAAAAAGAGCTTGTATAGCCAAGACAATCCTAAGCAAAAAGAAAAAAGCTGGAAGCATCATGCTATCTGACTTCAAACTATACCATTACAAGACTCTGGTAACCAAACAGCATGGTACTGGTACCAAAACAGATATATAGACCAATGGAACCGAACAGATGCCTCAGAAATAACACCATGCATCTACAACCATCTGATCTTTGACAAACCTGACAAAAACAAGCAACGGGGAAAGGATTCTCTATTTAATAAATGGTCCTGGGAAAAATGGCTAGCAATATACAGAGAACTGAAACTGGACCCCTTTCTTACACCTTATACAAGTACTAACTTTAACATACATTCAAGACTTAAATGTAGAACCGCAAACCGTAAAAACTCTAGAAGAAAACCTGGCAATACCATTCAGGACATAGGCATAGGCAAAGACATCATGACAAAAATGCCAAAAGCAATTGCAACAAAAGCCTAAATTGACAAATGGGATCTAATTAAACTAAAGAGCTTCTGCACAGCAAAAGAAACTAGCATCAGAATGAGCAGGCAACCTACAGAGTGGGAGAAAAGTTTTGTAATCTACCCATCTGACTAAGGTCGAATATCCAGAATCTACAAGGAACTTAAACAAATTTATAAGAAAAAAACAACTGGCCCCATCGAAAAGTGGGCAAAGGACACAAACATACACTTCTGAAAAGAGGACATTTACGGGGCCAACAAACATATGGAAAAAAAGCTCAACATCACTGATCATTAGAGGTACACAAATCAAACCCACAATGAGATACCATCTCACACCAGTCAGAATGGTGATTATTAAAAAGTCAAGAAATAATAGATGCTGGTGAGGCTGTGAAGAAATAGGAGTGCTTTTACACCATTGGTGGGAATGTAAATTAGCTCAACTGTTGTGGAAGGCAGTGTGGTGATTCCTCAAGGATCTAGAACCAGAAATACCATTTGACCCAGCACCCATTACTGGGTATATACCTAAAGGAATATAAATCATTCTACTATAAAGACAGATGTACACATATGTTTATTGCAGCACTATTTACAATAGTAAAGACAATGAACAAACCCAAATGCCCATCAATGATGGACTGAATAAAGAAAATGTGGTACATATACACTATGGAATACTATGCAGCTGCAAAAAAGGATGAGATCATGTCCTCTGCAGGGACATGGATGAAGTTGGAAGCCATCATCCTCAGCAAACTAACACAGGAACAGAAAACCAAACCCTGCATGTTCTCACTCTAAGTGGGAGCTGAACAGTGAGAACACATGGACACAGGGAAGGGAACAATACATACCAGGGCCTGTCAGAGGGTGGGGAGAAAGGGGAGGGAGAGCATTAGGGCAAATACCTAACACATGCATGGTTTAAAATCTAGATGATGGGTTGATAGGTGCAGCAAGCCACCATGGCACATGTACACCTATGTAACAAAACTTCACGTTCTGCACGTGGATCCTGGAACTTAAAGTAAAATACAAAAATAAAAAATAAAACTGATAGGGTTGATGTGATGTTTAAATGAGACAAAGTATGTGAAAATCATTTTAAATAACAATGTAATGGGAATGTTAGTTTTTATTATGCTGTCAAGACATTTGCTATCAAATGAAGTTATCACTTATGAGAGAAAAAATATTTAAATGGATTTTTTTTGAGTGGCAAGGTCATTACATTGAAATAATGAGGAACAGAGGACAATTTCAGAAATAACTTTTTAGCAGCTTAAATTTTCCCTGGAAAATTTACTATTGTCCTGGGAATATTGCATGGTTCAAAAGCTGAGCACTTCTGCATGGCATTTAATTAAAATGCAGCCTGAACATACTATGTGAAGAATTTTAAACAGTCTTGTTCAATATAAAATATACTCAATGTCAGTATATTATGTCTTTTTTTAAGAATCATTTTCCCATCAGAATGCATTTGACAGTCAATCTGTGAAAAAATAGATTGGGATTGTGTAATTTTTATATGCTTCTTAACATTCTTTTTATTTTAATGATAAATTTATAATTATTGCCTATCCCATTTATAATGGTCTGGGAGGTAAGTACCTAAAAATATTTATAAAAATTATATTGCTATCTCTATGAACTTGAGTTCTCAGGAGTCTAATAACATAAGATAGGATAAAATAATTTTAAAAACATGTTTCAAAAGTAGCACTCTTTAAAAGCCTCCATCTATGTAAGGAAAGTAAAATGGATAGATACAAAGAATATTTTTTGTTAAGTATTTAGGATTTTCTAGATTGTCAATTATCCACATCAATCACTGCTATTAACAAAGTACACTGGATACCTTCACAACTCAACTGTTGTCTCTAGCTTCTTGTTTCTACACAACAATGTGGATATTGGAATTTAAGAGTTGGATGGTGAGAAAGGCCATTTGGAGTTGCTAGGATTCCCCAGTAGGAGGGGTGAAATAAGTTTGTGGGTCCTCAGGTTTGTACAATTTCTTTTAGAAAAAAACATGAAAATTTAATCCAAATGTATATAAGGATTTATTTATGAAACCAGGGCAAGTGAAGGACCCTGAAAGCTTCCCCCTCAGAATGAATCATGTACTTCTGCCTAGGCAGACTGAAAAGGGGGTTTCCTTTCCCAGAGGGTTTCTGCTTTCTCACTTTCTGTCTTCTGCTTGCCTCTTGCCTTAGTGTAAAGAATCCAGATGGGCTATGCTAAAGAGAAAAAGAAATGCCATGTTCATGATCATAGAGCTGAAGAGTGTTCTTTATTAAAGAGCCAGCTGTCCTGCTGAAACAAAGGTTTCAAAGATTTCAGGCTATAGTTGGGGAACAGAGGCCAACTGAAAATTCACACCAACTGCACGAATAGAACTTGGATCCAAGAAACATTCCATTATTTCTTTCAGCACAGATAGGAGAATCTCACCACCAATTCTTGAGCTAGGTCCTTATATCACGTGCAAATGTGACCGTGTTGGAAAGATATCAAGGTGGCTGTTGGAAGCTTGCTGCATGCATGCTTGTGGCCTCTGAGTGTATCAAGCTGACCTTTTTAGGAAAATGATGTCTGGCTTGTTGGATGAATTAACTTACACCCTCGCTGTGAAGCAGAGGAGCTTCAGAGCATTCGGGTGACAAATTGCACAGATAAGATGGCATGTCTTTTCTGTCTGAGTGACAGCGTGCTGAGTGGTGGTCTGATTTTGTGAAAATGGCTGGGAAGCTCTAAATAGCAGGCTATTCTCCTTTGAAGCACATACAGCTGGTTTAGGTTGAAAAATGACAGGTGTTAGGTGTTATATAAGCAAAGGTGAGAATTCGGTAATAACTTTAAAACTAACAAATGTAGAATTTTGCTGAAAGTTATGCTTTTTACATTTTCATGTATTTATTAAAAGTCCAAAGGATGGATGCTGATCCATTCAGGTATGAAAATAAGATTCTATTTTTGAAAAAAGGAATTTAATATATTTTTGTTTTGATTATATTTCATTCTTCTTCCTAAGTAATTCTGTCCTCCAAAAATACCATTGTTTAAAAGTATCATGTCATTATCCCATCCAAATCACTCACACATGACTTGGGGGCTACACTGGACATTGTATAAAGGAGGTGTCAGGCAGAATAAATGAAAAATTAAGCAAAGTTTCTTTTTCCACATCCTGCATCTTTCCCATTAGCCTCATTATTTATTTTTCTCTTCTGGTCTTTATTCCCCTACCTGTCGTTACCCTTCCCACCCCTATTATTTTCTACTATAGTATCAATTGATATGATATTTGTCTATTAAAGAGTAAGCCCCATTCTCCAAAATGATACTTATTAAAATTGGCAGTGCCTTTATATGATAAAATAAAACTGTACTGGTAGAATAACAGGCACCAAGGTTTGAATTTGAGGAAAGGATTCCTTCCCTTAATTTCTTCTCAATAGCACCATGGGGCTAGCTTCCTGTTTCACTGCCTAGTTAGACTAGCTCCATAGACAGCTTTCTAGGAAGGAATAATCTGAGTAATAAAATAAACACGACATAAATAGAGAGAGCCAGGCTCCAAGTCAACTGAAGAATTAGAGCTTCAGAGTAGGAAGCGTCCTTAGAGCTGGTTTTGTCAAACCCTGGATTTTCTTCACCTGAAAACTGAGCCATGGAAACGGTAAGTGCATTGCACATGTTCATTCAGCTAGTATACCTATACATTTGGTACAAGAATTAGGGTCTTATAAAATTTCTAGTCCGGTGCTACTTTTATCAACCATATCAACCCGCCTCCAAAAATATGTAAATCCAATGAAACATAAGTGGAGCGATATGGTTAGGCTTTGTCTCACCACCAAAATCTCATCTTGAATTATAATCCCCATAATCCCCACTTGTCAAGGGTGGGACCAGGTGAAGGTAATTGGATCATGGGGGCGGTTCCCCCACACTGTTCTCGTGATAGTGAGTGAGTTCTCACGAGATCTGATGGTTTTATAAGGGGCTCTTCCCCTTCACTCGGCATTTCTCCTCCCAGCCGCCTTGTGGAGAGGGTGTCTTGCTTCCTCGTCACCTTCCGCCATGATTATACGTTTCCTGAGACCTCTCCAGCCATGCTGAACTGTGAGTCGATTAAGCCTCTTTCCTTTATCAATTACCCAGTCTCAGTTCTTTACAGCAGTATGAAAAGGAACTAACACATGGAGCATATCATAATGTTTTATTTTTAATGTGGAGTAAGAATTGTGAGACATGAGAGTCAAGTCATATAAATGTATTGCAGGAAGGTGGAGAAAGAGAAGAGAAATGAGTAAACATTTAAAACAGTGTAGGGTGTTACTTCTTTGTTTTTGTTTGTTTTTGAGATGGAGTCTTGCTCTGTCACCCAGGTTAGAGTGCAGTGGCGCGATCCGGGCTCTCTGCAACCTCCGCCTCCCGGGTTCAAGCAATTCTGCCTCAGCCTCCTAAGTAGCTGGGATTACAGGCACCTGCCATCACGACCATTTTTGTAGTTTTAGTAGAGACGGAGTTTCTCCATATTGGTCAGGCTGGTCTCCAATTCCTGACCTTGGGTGTTACTTCTTGAAACCAGGATGGAAAGAGTAAGGAGGAAATGAGACTAAATACAGATGGAAGATGAACACTTTGTTCACCTTACACTTAAATCCCAATCCTCTTCCCTTCCTTAGCCAACATAAATCAAGTCAAAGCCAAAGGGCATATTGAATGCATACCTTTTCTATTTTACCATCAATTTGGACTTCAAGAAGAAATATTCAGTGACTTTTGAGGCACATTTATGGGGATTTATCAGGGAAGGAGGAATCTGAGGGATCTGACTGTACCTAGACTTGGAGTCAGCAGGAAGACGCTATGTCTGTAAGGTACTTTTAAAATGTCTCTTATGAGAGATGAATGCGGCGATTATAGCTGTTAATTCAATACCTGTATTTGCCTGTAACAGCAGCTCATTAGTTGCAGCAGATGCTCTTGATTGTTCTTCCATATCTCCTAGTTTTTCAACGCATGCTAGCCGGACTTTGAATGATCCGTCCCTGCATTTCTTCTCCTGAGGGCTTTTTTTGGACTGCTAAAGCCCAATTTGCCTCCTATCTGGTAGACAGCTATGCCAGGGAATTAATGTTCCCTGGAAGCATTCCTCAACTAATAAATAAGTTGGTATGTAAATACCCTAGCTCCTTTAGCCCTGAAGCATGTGTTTTCTATTGGTTTGTAGTTTCTTCACAGTGGGAGCTGGCTTGATAATGCACCCTTTATTGGCTACTTTTTCTCTGGTTAACTTCCCTAACCGCTTATTGATATTTTCTTTGCCTTTCAAATGAACCACTTGCACCCTAATCTTTGTCATAAGGTCTGTTATTGAGGGAACCCAAATAAAGACATAGAATTGCTTACTATGTGAGCAGTAGAGTCTCGGAACAAACTTCAGGAGAGCCCATTCATGTCAAGCATTCAGTTGGAAGAAATGGCAACCCTAACTTCAGTAACCTAAAGGGGATTATTAAAATAGGGGATTATTTTTCTTCTATTCAAGAATTCCAGTGGCAGACAGTTGGTAGAGAAGGTCCGACTACTCCATGATCCCACCAAGGAATCAGGGCCTTTTTGTTTTTCTGTTTCCCCATCTTCATCTTGACGTTTTGTCCTTGGGCTGTTTGCTCATGTCACAAAACATCTGTTGCATCTCAGAAACCAGAGCCATATTCCAGGAAGAAAGGGGGGAAAGTTAAAGCTTTCCTTTTTGCACAGCTTTGTCTTTTTAGTCAGGAAAAGAAGTCCTTGCCAGGCTTGCAGCTAAACTAGGTCACCTGCTCATTATCAGGCCAATTACATCCAAAGGGGATGAGATTAAAAAGCCTGGTTTAGCTCAATCATGGTTCATTCCTGGTGAAGGTCCCTATCTGAACAAATTGGGATTCTGTTAGCTGGAAAGAAGAGGCAGAAATGGCTTGGGTCAGCCATAGACAGTATGTCATGCATCGTGTCTAAAAAGTATATTATTGGTCAGCTCCATGGTAAAAATTTCAGTTTTGTATCTCCACATGACTATTTCAGACCAATGACATGCCAGCAGACACACACTCTAACACAAAGAAAATATAGAAGCAGAGAGGAGTAGCTTTAATGTGCCTTCCTTAAAAGTCTTTATTTTATTGAGTTTTATATATCTTTATAAACTGTATTTCTGGATCAATCTTGGCAAATAAAATTATTTTTATAGCCTAAAAACTACAAGGCATACTAGTTAACTACTGTTTGTAAAGGGGGCTCTGCTCAGAAGAGCACTGTTTTTGCAGGTGTATAAAGAGAACAATTCTAAACATAAAGCTATTTAGAGCTATTTAGTAAAATTGAAGGCCAGTAATATTCACAAGAACAAAATCTGGGTCTCTGTTTAGTTACCATGAATATGTCCTTGCAAGATATTGGAAAGAGGTCCCCTGGGAGAAAGCTGGCCTTCTAGAGTTAAACACTGTCTACTGTGGAATGTTAAGCTTTAATCTTAAAACACTGCATGTTAATTGATTGTCAAAGAAGAATGTATTGAAATTGCCATCTGAAAGCTCTAAAGAAATATAAAATGCACTTCTATGAGGGGAGAGAAGAGCCTCAAACTTTGCCTTTCTTTCCATTGGCCAAAGGAGAAATTAATAAATCAATGATTCTGTTAGAGCTCTAATCTTAAAATAAACTGTACAAGATATGTTTTTTTTTAACAAGAACAAAACATCTTTGTTCTAAGCAGAATCTACTCAGTCAATGGCCAGAATGTAAGACTTTTGCCAGTCATATGGTAGAAGGGAAGTGTCACTCTTGTTTTACAGAGAGCCATGTAGAACAATTTAAGAAATTAAGTGGAAACAAACTCAACCAAAGCCAGTTAACCTAAACTAGAATTGATTCTGCTCCATGAAACTTTATGAAGCAGATACAGTTAATTCTGATAATCCAGCATTTTGTAGTTTAGAAATCCTTTTGATTCTTCTTGGAAAGTCAAAGGAATCCAGAAAAATCCTGTACTCTGTTGTTATGTGCCAGACATTGTCTCAGGTGCTTCAGATGGATTAATTCTTAATCTTCACAGCAGTCCAACCCAATACCATGAGCTCTCTCCTTACCATCCCCACTGTTCATGTGGGGGAAAGGGGCTACATAAAGGTTCAACCACATACCTAAGATTGCAAAGCAAGTGGGTGGCAGAAACAGGATACAA